TTTTCAATCAATATTATAGTAACAAGATCTATTTTGGATATATTTTTATTTGAATTCAAAAAGTAAAGTTGTAAGGGATTTGGTCAAAATTTGGTTTTGGTTTGGTCTGGTTTATTTGGTTTTGGAAAGTTTAAAACTTTTGATTAGTAATCTTTTAAAGAGTAACTAGATTGTTACCCGCGGTACACCGCGGGTTAATTATTTGATTTTTTTTGTTTTTTTATAAACCGATGAATTTGTTGTATATAATATTTTTTGTTGTACATTGCGAGTCACATGCGTTGTAACTAAAAATGAAAATTTTAAGTTGTATTTGTTTTGTTTAGTGTTTAAAATTGTATAATTGTATTTTGATGTTTGACAAAAAAAAAAAAAAATTGTATTTTGATTTGTTAATCCCAGGATTTCACCCGTGATATATTATCCCGTATTAATATCAATCCAAATCCGACCCGTCCCACCATATAATCATGTCCCGTAAAATTAAACATCATTTTGTTATTTCTTTTAATAACACTTTTATTTAAAAGACATATAATTCGAGTCAATTTAAAAGTTTGCTTTCAAATAGTTTCTATGATATATATATATATATATATATATATATATATATATATTCAAATTAGTGTGTGTTTTTAGACCAACCCGTAAAAATATTTTAAAAATGTATATTAAAATACTAAATAATTGTATTTTGATTTGTTAATTTTAAGATTTCACCGTGGTATATTGTCCCGTTTTAGATAATTGTAGAAATTAAGAAAATATCTGAATGACTCAATTCCGGGTCAGAGTAAAAAAAAAAATACGACCTGATTAAACGCGCAAATTTGTTTTTCAAAAATGTTAATATAGATTGTACACATACTTTTTTCTTCATCGATTGAGTAATATATGTCCGTTTTAAAATATTTGAATCATAGCATATGCAGAAAAAAATCGAATTTTTTTATTAAGTATATATATTTTATAATAGTTCAAAATAATATAAATATAAGATCATATAAAAGTGAAATGAGAATCATATATTTATGTTTTAATTAGGTAGAGAGGTTTTAGGAAATTAGTTCAAATTTGTTATATTAGCATTAAATAATCATATTTGATTTCTATATCTATAAAAATTGTAGAGAATATGCCATAAATAAAGAGTTTAGGTATAGTAATTAGTTGAGAAAATATATATTTTTTAGATTTTATTGATTAATTTTTCGTTTTTTAGATTTGTCAAAAATAAGGAAAGATCCGATTGAAGATTTCCGGGTCAAAATTAAACAAAATTTGACCCGATTAAAAACCTCAAAAAGTGTTGCAAAAATGTATAGTAGATGCCCTTAAAATGGTAGATTCATGATAGTAATGTACTACATGCATAAGCAAAATCAGGGTCTATCTTTGACTAATTATATTACCATTAATTCAAAATTTCTCTACTCACAAAAAAAAAGGTTCTTTTGTCCATTCATTAGCTAACTAAAGTTTTTTTTTTTTGTTTAATAGTTTTGCATACCTTTGGTCTTACTCATTTGAGCCAAACCAATTAATTTAAAGTTGTTGACAAAAAAAAGTAGTTTTGCATTTTTATTTTATTTTACACTTTTTTCAATAATTCAGTGATACTTAACTAAAATTAATACAAAGTGACAAAATTGTAAATATAAAACTGATATGATATTAAAATTAGTTATGTAAAAAGCATTTTTTTTTTTGTGTGTTAGTTTCATGGGCCTATTTTGAAACCCAAAAGTTAATCAATGGGCCCAAGACACACACGTTCTCTCTGTAAATTTCAAAATAATTAGATGGAGGGAGCAAATGTTTCTGAAATCTCTCCACGACGAAGAAGAGATTCTTCGATTCTTTTTTGAATACTTTTAAGTTAACTCTCAGTTTCTGCTTCTGCTATGGTCTCTAAAGATAGTTGTCGCAACGAAATCCGTGCGGCTATTCGACAGCTTAGCGACCGTTGTTTATACTCCGCCGCAAAGTGGTTCGTTTCTCAAAACCCTAATCTTATGCAATCTCTCCCATTGTTGTAATCTCGAGCTCGCTACTGCTCTGGTTCCATTAAAAATTGGATTTTTCAGTATCCTTTATGGTTTTGCTATATTTTTGTATCCTGGGCTAATTGTAACCAAATTTGGTTAAGAAGAATTGTTGATTCGAATTCACTTTATTGCGAATTTGGTGTTGGATACATTCCAATTTGACATGCGGGTTTGTGGGTTTTGTGTTTTGATATGTTTGAGCTCGACACTGATTGAAAAATTTGTTCTTTTGATAGGAATTTCTGATTTCGGTTCAATCTCATTTGTGAATTATGAGTTAAAGTTTCAGTTTTTAGTACTCGTATTGTAATGCAATGGTGATGCACTATTAGTCAGTTCCATGTTTGATATCTTCTTGGCTTTCACCATTACAGGGCAGGAGAACAGCTTGTGGGGATAGAGCAAGACCCGTCTAATTTTACACCTGCCAATACGAGGTTTCAGCGAGGAAGTTCTAGCATCCGGAGAAGGTTCAGCACCAATGAATCTATTTCAACACCATTACCTTCCGTTGGCTTCTCTCAAGCAGCTACTCCTCTTCCGGAAGAAGATGAAGCGATTGATGGTGACTTTTACCTTTTAGCAAAGTCCTACTTTGATTGTCGAGAGTACAGACGGGCTTCCCATGTGCTTCGTGATCAAGTGAGCAAGAAATCAGTGTTCTTGCGTTACTATGCCCTTTATCTGGTATGTTCTGTTTCTCTATCTCCTCTTCCCGATTTAGCTAGAGCGTCTATATCTTATGAGAATAGGGTGATGGAATGAATTTTTAGAAGTTGGCTTCAATGGCTTTTGAAGGTTCTCTCAGCTCTCGGCAGTAGGCTGCCTTCCAAATAAATGCAATTTATGACATTATTACATGCTTACAAGATTGAGCCTCTGATTCACAATTACGTTGATGTCCAGTCACAGTTGTGTTCTATGGATACAAGAGATATTAGGGTATGCAACTGATATACAAAAGTAAATAAATGAGTGAAACTTAATTGGAAGTTGTTTGTCCTGTTTAAAGACTATTGTGTAAAAGTTTATGGCAATTACTTACTGAGAGTTTTTTTTATTCCCCGCCTATTTACACCAAAACAGATAGTACTCTATAATCTGTCGTTAACTTTGTTATCGTTTCAATGAAGGCTGGGGAAAAACGGAAAGAGGAAGAAATGATAGAACTTGAAGGCCCTTTGGGTAAGAGTGATGCCATAAACCGCGAACTGGTATCTTTGGAGAGGGACTTATCAGCTCTGAGGAGGACAGGAGCAATTGACTCTTTTGGATTATACTTGTATGGTGTGGTTCTTAAAGAAAAAGGAAATGAAAGTCTTGCTCGGGCCAGCCTCGTGGAGTCTGTGAACAGCTATCCATGGAACTGGAGTGCCTGGTCAGAGCTGCAGTCTCTGTGTACTTCGATTGAAGTCTTGAATAGCCTTAATTTAAGCAATCACTGGATGAAAGAGTTTTTTCTTGGCAATGCTTATCAAGAACTCAGAATGCACACTGAGTCTTTGGCGAAGTACGAGTATCTGCAAGGTATTTTCAGTTTTAGCAATTACATCCAAGCTCAAACTGCAAAAGCTCAGTATAGTCTTAGGGAATTTGACCAGGTTGAAATCATGTTTGAAGAACTTCTGAGAAACGATCCCTATCGGGTGGAAGATATGGATTTGTATTCTAATGTTCTGTATGCAAAAGAAGCATGTGCTGCGCTGAGTTATCTTGCACATAAGGTGTTTTTGACTGATAAGTACAGACCTGAGTCTTGCTGCATCATTGGCAACTACTATAGTTTAAAAGGCCAGCATGAGAAAGCAGTTATGTACTTCCGTAGAGCTTTGAAACTGAACAAGAAGTATTTATCTGCGTGGACTCTTATGGGACATGAATATGTTGAGATGAAGAACACGCCTGCTGCCATTGATGCATATCGACGAGCTGTTGATATAAACCCTTGTGATTATCGAGCTTGGTATGGGTTAGGACAAGCATATGAGATGATGGGGATGCCTTTCTATGCACTTCACTATTTTCGCAAATCCATATTCTTTCTTCCAAACGATTCTCGGTTGTGGATAGCCATGGCTAAATGTTATCAAACCGAACAGCTTTACATGCTTGAAGAGGCCATCAAGTGTTACAAAAGAGCTGTGAACTGTACTGACACGGAAGGAATAGCACTTAATCAGCTGGCAAAGCTTCACCAGAAGCTTGGACGTAATGAAGAAGCTGCATTTTACTTCGAGAAGGATTTAGAGAGAATGGATGCTGAAGGATTAGAAGGACCAAACATGTTTGAGGCTTTAGTTTTTCTTGCTACACATTTTAAAACTCACAAGAAGTTCGAAGAAGCAGAAGTGTATTGCACCCGTCTTCTCGATTATAGTGGACCTGTAAGTTTTCTGCTCCAATTTTCTCCATTGTTAACACTTTAGTTTACAAGGATCTGAGTATCCTAATATACTTATTACACTTAGTGAGTTAGTGTGACGAGATTGCATTCATGTTTGCAGGAAAAAGAAAAGGCAAAGAGCTTACTCAGAGGGATCAGAATGGCGCAAACCGGTTTTCCTTCAATGGATCTCGAGCATTTTCCTATTTAGCTGTACTGTTCCGAACACTCAAAAGCTCTTTGAGAGAGAATATCTCCCATCATGTACACTATAAACCTTTGTACACCATAAATGATCTATGCACCAGTTATGTCACAGCAGATTCTGGCTGTTTGTAACCTAAATTCCAAATTATATATTTCATCAAGATGATTCTCCTGTGATCCTTGGAACAGAAATTTCATTGCCGAGTCTAGAAGTCGCCAATCCCGTTTACAAAGTTGCATTTTCATATGGATTTGCGACACATAGGAATTGATCTTTCTTATGGAACAATATTTCTCCCTCTTTGTTGGCTCAAAATTAGTGTTTGTCCACCACAATGTCAAAAATCATGACAATTTGAAGATAGTAAGTGCTTATTACTCTCAGATGAGATGGCCATTAAAAGTATGCTGCCAAAGGCAATTCATACAAATAGTTATTTTCTGCTTAAAAGTGACAACATAAGCCCAGCATTAACAAGTCTTCAGCTGGAGAATACATCAACAATGTGAAATTGACAAATGAGGTTTATATCACAAGAGATTCAATTCCAGAAACAATAAGACAAAGCGGTGTGCAAAGGTCTTGAAAGATGGTTTCAGTATGTAGGATCAGTGAAGAACTTGTTGAGTCCAGGCATGATTTCAGGTTTCTTATTGCGAACAAACTTCCTCAGGAAATTTTCCTTATACTTCTCTCCCTCTGCATGGTTATCCAAAATTCCAGCAGCCCTGTTCTCCTTTGTGCATCTGGAGACGATTCAACAAACAAAACCCTCTAAGAAGACACACACACTAAATCCAAAAAACAAACCCTAATTTCGGTGGCAAGAAACTTCAAGAGTCTAAGCATCTCTGTTTCTGACTCTAAAAATAGCCAAGACAAGAAATGCTTGTTAGGCTGTAATCCATTCATGTTTCAACCCTTATAGAACACACTGCATCCCAAATCTAAACCCTTTAGACTACACAGAATCCAGAAACAAACCCTAATGCAAGAAAAAAACTTTAGATTCAAAAACATCTCTGTTCTAGCTATATTAAGTTGTTTTGTTCCATTTCAAAAATAAAGATGATGATCTAAAAACCTAATTCCATAAGTTGTTCCCAATCAATTGTCAAAGTGGCAATCAAAAACCTGAGGAGGAACAACAGACCTGACTTCAGGGTTTCCGGTGATGTTTCTGATCAACGAAAACGCACAGATCCCAACGGCAACTCCGGTAGCAGCGAACAAAGGATACACCTACCGAAACAAAAACAACGAAACACGTATTGATTCACGCGGCTAATTCATAGAAGAATCGAATCCAGATCTAAGGATTTAGAAACTAGACGTAAGTCAAAAGAGAATCAACAGATGGATTTCTTCGATTCATGGAAAATCAAAGATCGAAATGATGTAGTACCTCAGGTCTCAACCAACGGCTCGTCATTGAAATCGCAGAGAAGATGATACGAAACGAGAGAGAGAGAGAGAGATTGAAGACGGCTTTCTCTGAGAATGTTGAAGAGACGTAGAAAAGACCTCACTTTATATTTGACTTTTAGGTTTTTCGGAGAATTTTTGTAAGAAAATAAAATAAAAACTGAATTCTGATTGGCAGCGAGGCGTCCAGCTTGTATCCAATGACGTATTGACATCTGTCAATGTAGAGTTTCGAGGCGTCCCTTTTCTTTTACCTGTTTAGCTGTTACGAAACGATATACTAGCAAATTGGCAACTTGTAAGATTACGATTCTTATCTTTTCTTTTTTCCCAAATATATTAAATTTGTTTATTGGTAATATCTAAACTGGAAACAATTTTGAGTTATTTTTTAGCAATTATCACTTATGGTCTTTGATTCAAATCTTTGACTGTTGGAAAATATATTTATGTTCAAGTTGTGATATAATTTACGAATAATAATTTACTATGGAGGAAATTAATCCATTGGGTATTTTTTTGGACTCGGCCCAGGTACCAGTCCTACCCGGCTACCCCATACGAAAGCTTGTATATAACTTCTCCCATACCTAAATCACTATACTATTAAAAGAGAAGTACAAATATAAATGGGTCGGGTCAAAATTAGAAAATTGACCCGAAATTCTGAAATAGGATCTTTGAAATTTTTTTAGAATATAAATTCGAATTAATAATGAAAAATCGAACTAAAATCAAATGTTTATGGAAATCAAATAAAATTTGATTGTACTTATGGTAACTAATTATAAAATCATATTCCGAACAATATTATACATTAATTACGTATAATATATTTGTTCATATACTTTTGGAACTAATTCCATAACAATCAACGTTTTTCTCATTAATTTTGCTTATTTTAGCCAGTTATCATTAATTAAAAGATATCTTACTTGCTTCTAGATATTTCTAAAAAATTTATCACAACTAACCCATCTATTTTATAAATTAAATAAATAGATATTTTTATTTTGGTCGTGTAAATTAAATAGATATGAAATCTATGTAACTAATTTTAATTTAATTAGATTAAATCAAAATTATGGTATTTTCATACAATCATACTTATAGTTTACCAAAGAAGTTTAATTTTCAAATTATAAAGATTTCTTGAATATGATTTATAGAATTATTCAACAAGATGATAAATATTTATTAAATTTTGTGAATCATAAAAAATATTAATTATTTTTAATCATTATATTTCACCTTTCAATCTCTAATCTAACAAATAAGATACATATTTTATAATTCCTATGTCCAAACTCCATTGAGTTGTATGACTAAATAATATTTTCATTAGAGCTGTCAAAACGAGTTGATTCGTCCCGTTAAGCCTGTTTTGCAATAGGCAAAATATAGTTTGGCATGTAGTTAGTCTGTCTGCACGACCCGCGGGTAGCATATATTAAACACAACCCCGTCGCGTGAATGTATGCTGATTTGCGGGGTTATCCGTGGATTTTGTTTAAATAATTTTAGAGTAACCAAAATTTAAAATTCTACTAAAATAAATAAATTAAAATGTTTTTAGAGAAAATAATCTTATATATCATTATATTTATAAATATTATAATTTCATTTATTAAAAGTTTTTTAAACTACCACATGTTGAATAAATTATATTTTTATCAATAAATACTATCATGCGGGTTGATCCGCCAACCCCCGGACGAAAACCGATGACCCACTGCGAATCAATCCATGTGGCCCGCTTATTTGCGGGTTTAATATATTTTCCCAAATATGGCCTATAGTGAGATGATTTGGGCTCGACCCACGGTTTTTGACCTATTTTGACTGCTTTAATACCCATGATTCGTCTAATTTTTGAATTCTAAAACACAAAATTCCATTTTGTAAATCATAATTAATACGATTGGTTTAATTATAAACAATTTAATATTTTCTTTACAATTTGTTATTAGGAATATTTATAAGTACATTACACGATTCGTTCTACTAAAAACACGCACAATATTAAAATCAACGTATGTAAATCAATATTCTTCCGCGGTGGACCGCGGGTCCGATCCTAGTAAATTCTTAAATTTTCTGCCAAGAAATCTTTCCTCTACTTCTTGTCGCTCCTTTGTCCCTATCTCGAGTGAGTAGTATTAGGTTTAGTTGTTGTTAAGATATAGTGATATCATCGTATTGCTTTTCTCTTAATTCGATCTCATGTGTTATGTTAGCTCCTGGTTCATTGTTTTCTGACTTGAGTTCGTTGATTCGTTGTTTGTTCTTGTTTGGAGATTATCAAAGTATATTCCCTTGGATTTAAAGTTTCATTGATGAGGTTTTTGGTTTGTTTGAGGTTGATGGAGACCAACTTATGTAGTAAACTATAAATCAAATTGGTCGACGCTCACCTTGTATTAGATATTGAATATAAGCGATCTCGAGTTATAACTTGTTACTTGATTATTAATTAATTTATTATTGTTTTGCTCGGTGGATGTTAGCTATAGTCTAGTCTCTAAACTTGTTTTTTTTTTTTTTTCTTGGCTTTGTTGAGGTGAAAAAGATGAAGCACTACATGCCTATTGTTCGTGAGACTCCAACAATGGAGCTTGTAAAGCTCACCCCCGACATGAAATCGTTCGAAGCTTACAAAACTATCCGTGTAGAGCACACAATGAAGAGACATGCCGGTGCTAGAGCCAAGAGGGCTGCAGAGGCTGAGAAAGAAGAGAAGAATTGAGGGTCCTTTCTTCTTCAATTCTTCTTATTTAGGAGTAACTTTTATCTTTTTAACATCATAGTTTGGGATTTGATCTTATGTATCTGACTCTTTTTAATCCTTGAAATCTTGGATTTTGCTGCTACCTTTCCTCTGTCTTTAATCTTTATGGCAAAGACCTTATCTTTTCTTCCTTTAGCCTTATATTATTGACTTTTGCTGATACTTGCTTCTCTTAGATTTTTGGAAATAAGATCACATCACATATATCTTACTTCCTCGAAGAAAACCATAAGTTATGTTCTAGTAACTGAGAATGAATTTCGGCTTTTAGCTCCACCGTTAATCGAGATCATCGAGTAAATGTAGAAATTCACGGGAAACTAACCTTCTTCTTCTTCCTCATCATCAACTGAAGCATCTTTGTCGAATTCAAATCTTTCCCATCCTGCATCCTTGCTAGTATCTTTCTCAGCTGCAAATCAAGCGGATCATTAGTTTCAATAGAAGAACTAAACATGAGCTTGATATGATCAATGTTTTCACAAGGTATACAATGCAAGGGATCTCATTTTAAGGACAGAGTTGATCTTTCTTGTCCTTTTATTCTTTCTCATACACCAGGAAGTTTCTCTTGATATACCACTAAATACATTTACAGAGATTTGATCTAGGTGGTCACTAGAGGTTTTGCTTTGGTGATAAGGAAAAGCTAGGGAAAGTCTACTCCCAGCAGTAATGTACATTACAACCTTAATAATGCCAAGAGATGAAGAGCTAAAACACAGCCTTCCACCATAAAAAGACTTTGATTTATGAGAGAATGAACTCTCGGTCAACCAAAACACATTCTCCTAGCTCAGCTTTACACCTTTATCCCCTCAACTAGCCAACTTACGGTTGGACCGATTATGTACTTAAGCCATTTGGGCTTAGTAAAATCAAATTCCGGTGGTTGTGGGGTCGGGTTGAACAGAGAAAACAAGAATCAAAAGTGTGATATGGTTCAAAAGTTCATCTTTACTGATGCATCAAACTCGGAAGAACTAAAAATATCCCGTTGAAATCAATTTAAGGCTTCAACCTAGCAATTCTGATTTCCATGAATAGTGTAATGAGCCTCATAATAATGCCAGAAAAAATCTGATGTCTAATATACAAACAAAAAGTTGTCAAAACACTTAGGAAGGACCAACTATATAAAATTATAAACTCCATTAATCTCGACTTTCATTATGAATGTATAGGATTTTCATGACTTGCGAGCTCTGTCACGCCAAGATCCTTGTTGTTTTGCAATCACCTAAAACACAAAGTACGGGATTAACAAGCGTATGTACAGACCCTAAAATGGAGCTCCAAGAATCGAAAGAAGAAGTTAAGAGAGATCTCACAGATGTTTTACCTTCTCGCTAAGAAGACTTATCGCGCCGCTGTTGCTTTCTCCTTCATCGTCCTTTACATAAGTTGTATCTGTAACATTATCGTCGGTGTTATTTGTAGGAGTTTGGCCTGCTGGTGCACCAAACATGGCCTCATCATGGGCGGCTTTTAGTTGCTCTTCCCGTTTCGCCTACAAGTTTTTATTCAACCTTATAATTTGTCATATACTAAAAACTGTGACTAGTTTAGTGATCGACAATGCTAATGACTCGGTAAACCTCGATGGCAGAAAACCTAAAACTCTGTCCCATGCGCTTGACTAAGGCAGCGTCGTCATCAGTACCTGCTATCATATGAAGTTTTTAGCATCAACAGTATCTAGTAACTGAGAATGAATCTCGGCTTTTAGCTCCATCTTGAATCGAGATCATCGAGTAAATGTAGAAATTAACGGGAAGCTGACCTTCTTCTACTTCCTCATCATCAACTGGAGCATCTTTGTCGAATTCAAATCTTTCCCATCCTGCACCCTTACTGGTATCTTGCTCAGCTGCAAAAGCAGATCATTAATTTCTAGAGAAGATACAAACACAACGTTTTCGCAAGGTTTACAACGTGAGGGATCTCATTTTTAAGGACAGAGTTAATCTTTCTTGTTTATCTTTTATTTTTCTCAGACACCAGGAAGTTTCTCCTCGTATACCACTACATAGAATTACATATTTAATATCTCCAGGAAAGGGTTTGTCTCAATCCTCCTTACATAGAGAGCTGCTATGGAAATCTATGAGGTCACTAAACACTGAGAGGTTTTGCTTTGCTGATAAAAAAAAAGCTAGGGGAAAGTCTTCTCTCAGCAGTAGTGTCTTCTCTCTCAGCAGAAGCGTACATTGCATCCTCAATGCCACGAGATAAAGAGCTAAAACACAGCCCTCCACAGAACTATACCATAAAGACTAATTAATGAGAGAATTCTTAGGATACCTAACGAAAACCTTGGACAAATCCAGAATACCCCAAAGCAGTCTCCTACTTCATTTTTAAACCATTAGCACCTCAACTAACTGACTTAAGGCTACGATTCATTACAAAACTTCTAGGCTAGTTACAATAGTCTTGAATTAGACTAATAAGAAAGGCTTATCAGCAACATCAAGGCCATAACACGGTCCCATTGTTTTACAGTAACATTCCAAAGATGGATCCCACTCAAAAGATGTTGTCGGGAGAATCAGATCCAAGCAACTAGAAGTAATCTCTCTAACGGGACCAACTAACATACCGGTTTCATCAAGCTGGAGCTTCATCTTGGCCTTCACTTTTTCAGCAGCTGACTGTTCAAGAAAGCAACACAACAACCAAGCCTTATGATACCCAATGGAAATGACAAATCACACACGGAGACACACAAAACACCAACAACAAAATTACAGAATCTAAATCCATAAACAAAGAATGGCTGAACCAAATTAGAGCTCAAGGGTTTATTATCATCTTAAAACATCTATTCCTGCTATACCAAGTAAATGTGAGTACATTGAAGGAAATTCCTATGTTACAATACCATTATACCAACCAAATTTTCAGGTTGACGTTAAGCTAATTGCTATGTTCTTATTACCCTAACTCCCACACAGTAGAAGGATTCTTGCCATTACAAAGCTAATTCTGGTAAACAAAAGTTCATCGAAGTATAGTAACCATCAAGGCTGAAGAATTCTGAGAGAAATGAGTATTACCAGCTCATCGTAGCCGTTAATTAACCGCGAGTAATCAATCTTCTTCTCCTTAACATCTTCTCTCCTCGGCGACGATCTATTGCTCCTCCGACTCTCTCTATCCCCATACCTATTACGCCTCTCTACACTCCTACTCCTGCTTCTCCGTCTCTCCCTATCCCCATACCTACTACGTCTCTCTGAACTCCTGCTTCTCCTTCTATGGCTTTTATCTCTCTCATCCCTCTCTCTACTCCGGTAACGACGCCGTTCACTCGATTCTCTGTACCTACTCTCCGGAGCCCTATGATGTTGCTGATCTTCAGGTTTATTCTTCTTCAATTTATCTCTGATGGATCGGATCTCGGAATCCTTGTTATCAGTGGATTTAGTAGCCTTGACGAACTGGTTGAGAAACGAAGACGACGATGCAATCGCCGATCCTCTCTCCGGAACGCCGTTGGCTCCGGTGGAGAAGCCGAGACCTTGCTTGAAACGAGCAGCTCCTTCTCCTTTACGAGTGAGCTCGTCGTAGTAAGCTGCCGCTTTTTCCTCCTCCATTACTTAGCGCCGTTTCTCTCTTCGCTTGTCTCGATGGTTTTTTCTAAACGAACCATCTTATAAATCCAATGTTTTCATTTGAATTTTAAAAAAGAACAGATATCATTATCAATCAAAAGTATTTAAAAATCTTTAAATTATGAAACCGTTTTTTAAGTGTTCAATTATGAGAAAAAAAAATAAAAAAAAGTGTTCAATTGCACAAGTTTTAGTTTCAATTTTTGGTCAATGAACATAAAACTATATGAGGGTCAATGAATTGATGATTCCTGAGTGGGATTATGAAACAAGTAAAAGATCAAAATCCGGGCAAAAATGAGAGGTCAATGACTCCTGTGGGAAGATTGGCAATGTTATTGAGCAGAGCGAGTCTGTTCTTCCTCACTCTTTCTTCCTCCTGCAAAAACCGTTATATTCAAACTTCACTCGTCTGCGATAAAGCTCGAGTACAGTGTGAGAACAAAGTTTCAACTTACCACCATCACGAATACATTGTTGAAGAAATCCTCGAGTGGCTCCACCAATTGCATGGATACCTCGGTGAACTCCTCTATTTCTATGCCTGAAATTTGGAAGTGAGTGAGAGAAATTTGACACAGGCTTGTTTGAGAGAATACAGCTGAGAAGAAAGCGGAGTTACCAGTGTGAATTCGATCTTTGATAGAGGTGTAAGTCCTCCACAACGTTCTCTCTTGGGAAGTCTCAAATGCATTCTCATCCACCTGATTGCATCATTCAATGTTAGAAGCTGCAAGTTTTCACAAATGCTCTTTGATCAGACAGAAACCTCAAGTACCTTAACTCCAACACCAACGTCTTTCCCTCGGACAATGCGTGTGGGACGAGAATATGCTTCCACTATCTTCGGAAATATTTCACCTTTGCTTAGCTTTTCCATCTGCAAGGCCATCAGCCAAGGCACCAGCGATGTGAGTTTCTTTTGGCAAAATCACTATGACACAGCAACATTCCAAACCAGAAGATAATCAAGTTTCAGTCCGTCCGTTTCTAGTCACAAATACTACAGTATATAGCGAAGGAGCTTCAACCAATTAAATTGAGATATATCCTTCTAAACTAGGCTTAATCCAATCTCCATAAAATCTGACTTGTAGGAGAATGATGCCCACAGGCTTCTCAACTATTACCTAATCTCAGCTAACCGCTATTGGATCATATCACAAGTCACTTACCTTGTATGCAGTCCGTGCTGCCAGACAAGGATTGTTTCCACGCTCTGCTAGGACAGACCTAACTACTTCAGGGCTTACTCCGTTGTCAACCTGTAAAAAGGATATAACGTTGTTTCAAGAACCGGAACCTAACGTATTTCAGTTTAAAGAGCTGGGAAATCAAAAAAGATAAGCATCACAAAAGTTGCACGAACCAGTAGTTGTTCCAGTCTTCGTGTAACAAATTGATACACCTAGAAACAAATAAAACAGTTAATTATATCACGAACAAATTCAGATGATGGTTTACAACCTGTAAATGGGATAACAAGACTTGATTCTCACATCTTCTACAGTGTTTGCCTCAACCTTGGTCGGTTGTACACTAGCTGCAAGTTCTAGAGCACGTTTGAAGTTGACATTTTTATCCTTCTCGACCAAAATCTGAACCTGTGGCATACAAAGTATTACTTGGCATCCATAACATGACAAATGATAATTGCTCATTTTCAGATCAGAATATCAATAAACTTACTAAGCCATATGATATTCTTCTAAGGCCAAAAGGGTCATTTGTTGAACTTGGCTGGCAACCAGCAGCAAATAAACCAACAAGGCTATCCAATCTACAGTCACAGGAACAAGTATAGGTGTTAGTATATAGGATCACAAATTCGAACAAAAATTATCATATCAGAATTATATGCAATTTAGCTCCGCGCCAATCCAGATACAAGGTTTTGTGGTCACAGGACGAACTGTTTGGCATAGAAAGAAAGGGGAGAGACAACAAAACTTTAGGCTTTCAATTTACCTATCCGCTATTGCCAAAACCATTCCTGCATCTGTTTTTGGGATGACGTCTCCAGAAAATCTAGGAAGTGTAATTTCCAGCAAAGCTTCAGCTATCTGCATCCCAGGAACACAATTGTCATATAATAATGGAGTACATGCTAATAGATATATACCACAGTAGGCTAGTAGCTTAAGTCTATGAGGCAAAAGAAGCTGCCACAAGAGTAACTTATGCCCATAAACATACACAGACACACTTGAACAATCCACTACCTGCTCTGAATAGCTATCTCTGAGAGCATAATGACGAGCCATTATTCCTGACAGCGCAGTAAATTCTGTAACTACAGCAGTTGCAAGGTCTGACATAGCAAGTGAGGCAGCATCCTCTACAACCGGAAGCAGATCTTCATCAATTTCGAGGGCCAAACAAAGCTTAGATACCATCTTTTTTAGGCGGTTCATCTTATCCAGCATTGTCCCCAGCTTTTCCTATTAATTCACATAAGCATGGATGAGAAGCTTGTGTTGTATGTGCTACTGAAGTCAATATTATATAGTTTGCATTTTTTACTTGTACTAGTACTGATTACTGAACCACTGAAACCACAATGAAACTACTGGAAAAAACAAAGGAAGTACGACCATCTAGTAATGCATTTATCATATCCAGCTTCTTATCTAAGATATGTACCGAAGGAAAACTTACATGGAAAAGAATTCCCTGTAGCTGATCTCGGAATTCAGAAAACCTTTTCCTTGTGTCCACCTCATAGAAGAACTTCGCATCTTCATAACGTGCCCTGCAAAAGTAAAACATGACCTTTGGGTACTTTTAATATGGACCACTATCAAGACTTGACAGCATATATGTAGGGCAATGCAAACAGCTAAAAGAATAAAGACGTGACAAGAAGGATCTACTCTATCTATCAATTGAGTAAAAAAATTTAGCCACTTTTAACACATCTCAACCTGAGAACTGCTTCATTTCCTTTCTTCACCACATCCTCATTTATTGCACCATTGGCAACCTAAACAAAGTCACACTCTGTTTCATCAAAACTTATTTTTGTGCCATTAAAAATGAAAAAATATATGCAGCAGAAGACAGTGCAAGGCTAGAGTTTCGTACAGCAATAAAGTAAGGCAATAGCTGTCCACTCTCATCAATAATAGAAAAATACTTCTGGTGCTTCTGCATAACCTATATGGTTACACCATAGTAAGGCCTGAATTAGATAAGCATACTTGCTGACTAATCATAAGGAAGTAAACAGATATTATGAGCAGTTTACACGGTATAAAAACCAATCTTAGTTTCTGAAGAGCTTACAATAGTTAATAGCTCCTCTGGAAGTTCTAAGAATGATTCCTTGAACTTTCCAATTAAAGGCACAGGAGCTTCGACGAGATTTGCAACCTGGAAAACACCATAAATTAATTAGCTTCTTGGTATCATGAGGTAAAGATCCTTTCTTGGAACCATTGGTCGAGAATATCACTAAAAACACCACATATACCTCATTAAGTAAGTCCTGCGGGACAACAAGGCGCCCATTCACACTCTTAGCTAGTGCATTTGACTTCTCAAGAATGATTTTCTTCCTTTCCTGTAAATTATGGTAACCAATGAAATGACAACATAGATCCATAACTACAAATCTAAATTGAAAGAAATCTGACACCCTGCTGAAAGTTAAAAATATTTTTTAAATACATAATGGATAGAGAAGAATATATGAAGGACATGCCTCAATCTCAATATTGATTCCAGAATTCCTCATAGCATCTTCATAGGATTCTGCATTCTGTACCTGCCAATATATAGAAGACCATAAAGCACACATCTGAAGCATGACATCCAATTATGCTTACAGACGACAATGCAGGGTACATTCTTACAAATAGTGATGCTGAAGCAGTATTGCGAAGTCCACAAGATACATTTCCACTGCATTTTGAAGAGGAAACAGATAGTTACTTTATTTATAGATATTTTGCATATTAACATCTTTCTGATATGCCTAACAATTGCAAGAGGAAATTCGTGCCAACTGAAGCCATAGAAAAGCAAGAGTAGCCAAGTAAACGTACCTTGAGATGCCAGCAAAGGAGAATGGCACAACCAGATCCCCATGTAAGGCCATAACCCAGCGAATCGGCCTGCTAAACATTACCTGCTTATCACAGCAAAAGATAAATAGCAGTAATTTAAACCCGTTGTTTTACAACTGAGCCTAGGCAATATGAACGATAATGTATACAGATATAAGTTACATACTGAAGAGTTCCAGCGCATCGACTTTGGGAACGATATTTTAGCCAGTATACCAGGTAAATCTTCTGACAGAACCTATATAATACACAAGGTCCCAAAAAGAAAATGTATGCTTAGCAAATAGTTGTATTTTTCCTTCAACGAAAAACTCAGATGCCAATTTAGTGAAGTAGGGGACTTGGAACGCTAAAACTACAAGGTCCACCATACGAAAAGTAAGAGGAAAAGTGTGAGCATCAATAATTTGCTAAATTAATGGATATATTATGTCTTTCATGAATTTCTCTGTCATGAAAGATGAAAATAACAGCCCCTTAGCATAACAAAAAAGAGTAAAGGAAACGAACCTCCAAAGCACGTCGAGCTGGCTCTGTAACTCGTGCATGGACATATTCTGTCTTCCCTGAAAGAAATACAACAACAACAACAAAAAAAAGATAAAACTGAAAAGAATTAAACAAAAAAAGCAGAATCACAGCCTAGGAAACAAAGAAAAAGGAAGCAGTCTGAAGTTGGGTAACAAGAAACAGGATCCTGCTAACAGAATTTGCTAATATGGATGCACCCACCAGAAACTTTTCTGTACAATTTTTCCAATGGAACGCCATACCTACGGCTAAAACCATCTGCAGCCTGGCAGGGAAGAACAACGAGAAAATTTATATCTACATATCTTTAGGCAGTCAATGCAAGCTACAAAGAAAATAAAGAAACATAGCACAAAACCTAAGGGGCAATGGATAAATGAACCAGATACTATTTCCTTAAATTCCACCACTGTCTACCAAAATACTTTGAATAGTTAATTTAATATCTGTGACCAAAAGGACCAA